AAACCCCCCTCCCCGGGAGGCCGGGGCTGGCAGGGCAAACGCCGCGGGACTGCGCTCCGAAAACACGCCTCGTGGGCCAGGGCAGGCGCCAGGAGGGAAGCACCGGGCAAAGCGGGGACTCCCCCGCGCCCGCTGTCACGCCGCGGTGGAAAAGAGCCCACGCGGAGGCCATGGAAAATAAGTAATTTCATCCTCAGTGTTTCCCTTAGACACCAAGCCTGGAGCAAAGTTTTTACAGCTTAGTGAAGAGAAGGGAGCAGTTGCTCAAATTCGTTGTTTTCCTCCCTCCCCGAGCATCTCCGGGGTTTTGGGTCACCCCCCTGTCACGGCAGCAGCCGTTGGCTCGGGCCGTTCCTCGTCTCCTCTGCGGTCAGCTCTTCTGCTGCCTTGCGTGCTTCGTTAGCAGAAACAGGAGCCAAAAATACCTCTCCTGTGAATTTAAAAAGAAAGAAGGAGGTTGAAGGGGGAAGATGGATGTAAACTGATACAGAAATAGCTGCACAGTCCTATCTGTTACCAGCTGCCCAAGCTCGCCTCCTCAGGAAGTGCCAGGGCTGCAAAAGCTCAAGCGCAGCTGATCCCCATTTCAAAATCTGATGGTGACCTATCGGCAACGGACACAAAGCCCAGGGAAATGAGAAAACAAAACAGTGCTAGAGCTCTTCCTTAAGGTAATCTCATATGGGCACCTAGTAAATCTAGTAAGTAGCCCCCAATTACATTGGCAGTCTCACAGGTGAAGAGGAGCAAAAGTAGAAATTGCTGAATTATTCACCTGATAGTGGAGTTTGTCGAGGCAACGTTTCAATGAGAAAAAAAAAAATCTGCTCAGAATTTGTATTCTCTTTCTCTGCTCCACTTCAGTAAGCGGTTGTTTTTCTGTTAACTGATAAGCAACGAGAGTCACAAGCTGTGACGGTGTGAGCGGGGTTTGCTGGAACGAATGCGGTTCCGCATCCCGCCTGAGTTGCGGGTGAGCGGGAAGGATTCGCAGCCTGGGGCTCTGAAAACTGACAGGATTTGTCAACCAGCCTCAAGGAGTGTGAGAGCTCATGTAAGAGTAGCGTGGAGAATGGATAAGCAAAACGCAAAACCAGTCTGAAATTTAGATTGCAAAATGTAATAAAATGCCTTTCAGCCAAGGCTGACTGTTCAAGTACCTGCTTTCCCCCAAATCTAACAGGTCCTGCTTCCTGAGGACTTTTGGTAACACAGAATTCACATATAAACACATATAAACTATTTTTTGCTGTTTTTTCAAAGATCAGCTTATTACATGAAACCGGTTAACCCAAAGTTAATGAGTTAAACCTTTTTGTGTCAGATACTTATGTCCAACTCCGAGAAGCAGGAAAATTAATGACAGATGTTGGCTACAGCAATGATACTGCTTTAAAATCTCAGAGGCATGTGACACTTCTATTAAAAGTATTTCAAAGAACTATACAAAGCTGTACGTTAGAGGTCTGAAGAAACTCTCTTACCTTTACCTTCTTGCCTTTCGCTGTCCAGAGGAGTTGAGCTGTGAGCTCTTTACCTGCAAGGCAAGATTTGCACCTGTGATTGCAGTAATATGATGAACAAACCAGACTTAGAAGCGTTTGTAGCTTACTGTGCTAACTGATTAGCTCTACTTACAAGTACGACCAGGAAAGTTGAGAGTAACTGTGATAAATAGAGGCTGAAATAAGTTACTCCACTGAAATAATGTTTTCGCTACTACAAACTTTGTAACTGCATCTCCATTGAAGCTTTTATGTCAGACTGCCTCTCCGTTTTTTGAACAGAGCATTTATGGGAAAACTTCTCAGCCTAAAGGAAGTCCCCGTATATTTCCATCTAAACTATGCCTTAACATGGCTGAGACACTTGCATTACCACACAGATGCCTCAACACAGTCAACTTGTCTTTGTATATGTGCCCTTGGAGAGCTAATTTCTTCTCCCTGGCTTTTTGCTGTATTTGCTGCAGCAACTCCCCTTGGAGTTGTTTATTTCACTAGCTGGAAGCCATATGTGGCCACTAAGCAAAATTTGTCCTATAATGGTTGTGTTTGTTTTTAATAACAACTGAATAATTGCTTCCTTTAACTCTATTTAATTTTATGTTTAATGAAAGATAAAATAAATTTTAAAACGTGGAAAATACTACTCACTACAGTCAATTAATTCATTATATATTTAATCATCATTGTAGCGAAATATAAATGTGAATGTACCCTGAGGGTACAGTGACTTGTATTAAAGTTGTGTTTCAGTGATGACAGTTTGAATTCAGACGATGGGATTGCCAAGCGAAATAAAGTGGTTTCATTCCGGACAGTACACAAAGCCCTCTTCCAACCGCCAGCGTGCATCTCGTCATTGTTATTTCAGTTGGTGAGGACTAGTATCTATACACTGTCTAACAACTTTATTCGAAGAGGTGCAGAATCCTCTCTGTGCTAAACGCCTCTAGGAGCTGAAGCTCCACACTACCCTGAGGCAGTCCATTATCAGCAAAATCGGTGTTGCCTGTTTTCCAAAGCCTTATACATATTTTAAACTGCTAGGGAGTTTGAGTTGGTTCCAAAAACATCTCAGCTGTGAAAGTATGACCTGAAACACTCTGCAGCTGTGGAGCGTTTAAAGCTTTAATTTCTGAATGGGAGGCAGATGAAACTAGAAGGCACAGGCTAAGTCTTGTTTTGCTAAACTGATGCAATAGGGTAGCAATTGACATCACGATAGAGGCATCTCAACGTAATCCATATAATGATCTCCGAGAATTTTCTTCCGCTTGGCCCTTGAAATGGAACTGTCCGCTTATTAAATGCTAATAAGCTAAGCACAAAGTGCAAGCTCCACAGGAAAGTACCTTAAGTGCAAAATTAGAAGGTTCAAAGTAAGGTTCAGGCAGGTCTGATCTAGAATGAGCGACTGAGCACATGTAAGGGTTTCATAATGCTCTCCACGACTGAATCCGGCACTGCTCACTCCTGTAAGTTTCCCTAGCTGAACTAGTGGAATGATGGAACTCCAAGATCCAAACACGTTCTTTTAAAACTGGAAACTGATCATTAAAATTTCGGAAATATTTGGCATATCAGTTGCTATGGAAGGATTTTATTTTGTTTTTGCTGGGGAGAAGAACTCTGACTTTTATTCATTTGTGAAAGGAATGAAAAGCAATCTCTTGAGTCAGCTTCACCAATGAACTTGGTAATGATACACCATGCAATGACTTCAACATGCAGAAAAACATTTCTTGCTCAACAGCTCCTCCTACTGCCTACATGTATCATGAAGATACCAAGGCAGAGTTTGCTTTCATGCACTGGCTACCTACCGAAGCAAATCGTCTGTGAATATAAGCATGTATTGATACCGCGGTCATTACGTTTAGCATTGTAATATACAGGTATTGGCTATATGTTGCCTGATACAGAATAAAATGAGAAGTTTTGGACCTGGAGAAAAAAAGCAACAATACTACTTTCAATTGTAAGTAATTTTCATGGTAATCAAAATTAAATACTGAATAAGATTTTGGAAAAAACACTCACTTCTTGCTAATTTGCAAAGAGTTAACATTATAATTTCTTGATTATAAAATAAAATCAATGTAAATAATAAAAACAAGATATTTGATTTCATTTACCCTATATGCAAACTGAATTTACTATTACTTTACCCTTGGGATGACTAGTGAAGATATGATTCTAAATGATTCGTCAGTCTTACTAGATAACTACGCTAACATTCAGGGTTCAGTTTCATGGAAATTTTCTTGTAAAAATCCTCCCGAAATCTGTAAATTTTCTATTTTATAACATTCTCTGCAGTGCTACGATTTGGAGTAAGGTTTTCGTATTAATTACTGTATTGTGCTATTTAAGTCTTGCCAGGCTATTCAGATTCAAATAGTGTTATTAGCATAAATCAGAAGTGCACCCTAATGTAGTTTACTGCAGGTTAGTTCTTTCATTGCAGGACAAAACACTGACATTTATATCAAAACATTCCAAGAAGCCTACAGGGTCATCTCCTTTTCTTCTGTTAATCAACAGAATTGTAATAGAAAAAACAGTAACAATGATAACTGCAAAACTGACCTTTTTTTTTTTTTTTTTGGCCTCTGTCAGGAACAAAATTGTAATGCAGTAAAATATCTCTTGATTTTCTTTACAGATGTTTTAAAGAAACAAATTTTAGACTAAAATTTAGACAAATTTTAGATCTGTCTGGCCATGACAGACATAGGTCTCCAGAGGAATAACAGTACAGCAATATAATAAATTGTTTTCTACAGTAGCTTTGGTAACAGGCAAATGAAGCTTTAGTTTTCTTGTCAACAATTTGTATCCTTTCTTTCAATCCCAGTTAATATATCCCAGTATTGTGTCCAGAATTATATGTATTTTTCTGTTGCAGCGACTGTCAAGCATTGTAGGTAAATTCTCCTTTCTCTCTGTTAAATCCAAGAGGAATCTTATTACAGGAATTTTGCTCACCTTGCATCTCCCTTGAAGAGGAACATTTGCAGATGTAGAAGGAAAGCAGCAATTTTTCACGCAGGCTGGTTTTTTTCTTTCCTATTTTCCAAGAGTCTCAATTCCCATTCCGCGTTATAGTACACCTTGATGTGTAAAGTCTGATGTTCATTTATTTCCTGGCAACATAAAGTGACCTTAATGTCAGTAAGAATGAGGGTCACAAGATGCACGGAGATTTCTGGAAAAAAAGAAAGTGATGCTTTAACAGCATCTTTTATTTAAACATAAGATTCTGCTATGGTTTAGCCCCACGTATTGGGGCAGATACAAGGGAGAAGTAGAGGGATTGAGAGATAAAATCATGGGAAAGTGGAAGAATTTAAAAAAGGAAAAAAATGTTTTTAATCCCCTTGAGATACTGAAGCTACATGCCTTAATGGTATATGTCAGATTTGATTTGGCTGCTAAAGAGTAGATCTAGGATTGATATAACTACATAGCTAGAACGCTACTGTGCTGTAATTCTGAACTAGCTTGTTTGGCTACAAAGACTGCTGAAATTTAAAACATACATAATTCAGGAAGTGATGCTTTCTGCGAAAATGATTAACACCATGTCAAATCCTCGTGCAGAATGGGACAAGGAAGTGCCTTGTAACGGAGCATAATCTGTAAGTTAGTATAAATTCACTTCATGGTTAGGCTCTGCCTAAATTAGATTAGAAACAAAGGTTAACACCTTCTAAGCAAACTGTTTAAAGGTGACTTTTGCGGTCTGGGACAGAGGAGAGCAACTTGATGCATGCACCAGACCAACAGCAATGAAGTTCTGTCTGCCTATGCAGCTGAAGCACATCTTGGATATATTGGGAAGGTTAAACGTGTCCACCTACCCTGCGTACAAACAGATAACATGAGAATGCAAATCCCAGACCTGGCTTACTAAAGTTATGGTATGTCATTTTTGAAAAGTTATACCTGGGGCCAACATATTATTTCAAGAAAACAAAAATCAAAAAAACTACCACTACTATTTCACCAATGAAAAAAGGGTGTTGTTTCTATTAGTGTTTGTATGTTCTAATCTACTTTTAACATTGAAGGCAAACTGTCCTGTGAAACACACAATCAAGAAAAGATGCCAATACTCATTTTATGGAAAAATTTAATCAAGGATGTATTTCAGAAATAAATTCTGAAGTCTGTCAATTTATAGCGTCTTGAATTGATACAATTCAATATGGCAAGAATAATTTGGCTATTACCTATGAAGATGAAACAGTTTTATACTACTGAGATCACATGCTGATGTAGAGACAATCTACAAGTGACCTAAAAAAGTGGGATGGAAAGAAGCTGATAGGAATACAGTGCAATTCTGGTCTCAGTAGTTATGTAGTCCTCAGGTGATCCAAATATATAAGAGGTTCTCACCAAGAAACTAGAGTACTGACAATGCCAGTGGGATGAGAAGTCAAAGGTGAAATGCTGTTCCCACTGAAGTCAGTAGGAGACTTGCCTTGCATCTTGGTGGGAGCACGATTTCAAAATTTTCATTCTGAGCCCACCTCTTGGGGACATGACATACTCTTGGAAATTCTCACTGATTTACCCTTAGGTTTCTCTAGTTAGGCCCTTTGTATCACAATTATTCAAAATACATATTTTTCCTGTCAGTTTCCAGATATGAATTCACTGAGAATTGGAGCATGACTGAAAGATCGCCAAAAAGGCCCAGCAGATAAAGCTGAAAACGATCCTGACTGCCAAAGCTGCTATCTATCTAAAGTATTCTTTCATTTAAATAGCAGCAGAACTTTACATCACTACTCAAGGAAGATGTATTTGGAAATGTCTGGAGAGTATTTGCTGGTGAATTAATGCATCACAAATTTACCACTTACATGAAGAACTCCAAAATATGTATGCAAAATATGAATAGAAACTAAGTCACTTAGAACCATTTTGTATTAACAGTGAACTGGCAGCACTCTTACTAAATCCTTCTCAGATTTGAACACAAATTGATAAAAATCAACAATAAAGGAATCTTAATTTTCCTCTTCATTAATTTTTATTTGGTTTAGCAGATGTTTCTTGCATTATGTTGTAGACTACTTCATTTGCATTAAGCATTTCTACTTCTTTCAGATACACTTGCATGCAAAACACTATGGGCTGCATTCAGGCCTAGATCCTTAGGTTGGCTAAGCTAGGCTTGTACCAAAACCGAGATGAGAGGGGAACCAAGGCTACAGATGTCTTTTTTTTATGATTACCCTAAGCCCAAAATCCACTGTGGACTCACTTGGCTCACTGCACAATTTCAAACAGATCCCAAGTTACATTCAGTTTCAGGAGTCTTCAAGAAGCTAGTTACACCATTGGTGAATCTCAAAGGTGCAGCAGCAATCCAACCCTGACACCTTCCCTTGATCATATTCATAACATACCCTTAAAACTAAAGCCTGCTATAAGGCACAGTAGAGAGAATTCAGTTCTAGGTTACTTAAGATTTCCTGGAACAAGCCAGGTAGATTGGTTTTCTGATAGCTTCACAGCTCTTGAATGGTGTAAAATGGGCAGCCTGGGCTCCGTTTGTCTCCGGGAACGTGCAATCAATCCTCAGTGACGGCTTCATTTCCATACGCAGCCTTACAGACAGGCTCATCTGGAGCACTCAGGCTAACGCTGTTTGACACGGTGATGACAAGTTGTACACAAAGCACTTGAGGTAAGGAGACCATCAAGGGGGGATTCCAGCTTCAGTCTGAATTGACTGAAGCCCAGATCTGTTACTCAGTTTGAAAGGCTCACTTATTCTCCAGGTTTTTAATGATGGAGATGATTGATAGACAAATATTAAAATAAGGATGGTAGGAGAATTTATTGATGGGGTACAGAGAATTTATTAAGACCTTCCCCTTTTTTGAAATTATGGAGTGTTTGTGTTCGTGCCTAGTGCTTGAAATTCATGTGGATTTCTGAAATGGGTCTGTCAATAAACAAATTTGAAGCATTCATTTGTCTAGGGCTGAAATATTGTATATATTTTATTAAGTAGCAGCGGAAGGAAGAGACTCAGACTTTCTCCAAAGAGAAGACTGAAGGAGCATTCCTGATGTCCTCTGAATAGAGCCATAGTCTTCTGTCAAAAGAGATACAAAAGTACAGAAAGAACACAGAAGCAGTACAAAAAATCCACAACTTAACTGTGGGGGGAACTCACAGAAGAGGACTTTATAATTTTTTTTTTAATTCTATATTAGGTAACAGGGATAAGATGCTTAGAGATATTTAGATGTCTACATTCCACACAAGAAAAGTTTGGGTTCACAAGAGCTGGATGCAGTAAGGAAAGTGATAATACTAAACACAGCTCCAACTTAAGGCTGTTTTAAGTGTTAGCTATTCTACCTGTGTGTCTTCAGTGACAAATATGTTTCTTTTTGTTTACTCTCTGTCTTCTCACGGGCAATATGTCTAGTGAGGTACAAACCGCATGGTTTGTACTAAAGTAGCTGCATGGTTTGGTACCTTCAGCTGTCAGAACTGTCTCTCCTTCTTGCCCACTTTGTGAAATATACACACCACAGCACCATCTGCTTAACCATGAAGCAGATTTGCAGCATAGGAGTTGTGTTTTAATGGGAAAAATCATCTGAGTACAAGAGAATTTTATGACTTTGTTTTAATTTTCTTTTATAGCTATTTTTTTTTCCTCTAATTCTCACATCAATCCTAGGTCTCCTGAGGCACCAGACTGTGAAGCTGATGCCAGATGGAGGAATGAGTTTCAAACAGCTGCAGGCTTCCCTACTGCTGCTTCCAGCTACCAAGGATTCATTTCTGCACATGCATATGGTAGAAGCTGGTGATATCGAAACAATACTAAATTTAGTTTTCTTCTCTACAGGCTCCACTGCTTTCAGCATTCACACGGCTCACAAAATTTGCCGCAATCACAGGATCTGTTTAGTGAGTGCAGAATAACGGGCAACTGCCTTCAGCCGATGAAAAAGCAGCAAACAAAGGATGAGAGAAAGCGTAGAAGGAATGGCATGTGCTTACATGGATCCCTCTGCAGGAGGCAGTTTATCAGATGCTATGAACTCCTTTATTTATAGCTAATGACTTCTCCACAAGCATTGTTCTCTGCTGACCTTCCATCCTCAGTGGAAAGTCAGGAGACCTGCTCTGCCAAGTGAGTGAACTAATTTCAAACAAAAATACAGAAAAACACCCTGCCTGCTGTGTTGTGTTTCCATCGTGAACTATCGTATCTTCCTCTTTTCTCTGCTGTTATCATTCTTGATTGCTCCGGTTAATTAGTATTCTCCAGAATAGGCAGTAGACCTTGTAGGTGAAAAGACAAAAAACTCAACTTTATTTAATATGGGAGTTGAGGACGCTTAGCCAGTAACCTGATGAATTGCTTAGCTGTCAGTTACTCATACAGGCGTTCTGTCTTTCAGCTGCCCGTGCAATGCCCAATCCATTAGTAATGCCGCACAAATGACAAATAGGGATTTGCTTTTCTCCAGAGCTGAAACAATTACTCGTTGCAGCGAGACATTTGCACCCGGAGAGGATTGCGCCCTTGCTTTGCTCTCCATCTCCGCTGCACTGAGTAACTTCCAACAGCAAAGCGTAACGAGGTTCCTGCAGTATGGAAAATGCCAGCGCTCCGGGGTCACCTGTGCACCCGAGAGACAGCTACTTCACCTCACGCTGCTGTCAGGCCCCGTGCTGTGTGGGGGACCGCATATGCGTGTTTTACAGTTGGCTCTTCGCCGTCAGCAGTGCCTGTCATCGCTTTCAAACCGGGATGCTTCTGGAGTCAGAGGGCGTCCTGACACCTTTGCCTCTCTCCATGCTAATGAGACCCTGCACTGTGCAAGTGCACAGCAGAGACGCAAAGGATGTTTATCAGTTGTGTTTGTTGTTGCCCTGTAGGAGTTACAGAGGAGACCCATGCAGTAAATGGACGGAGATGCTGGCCGACAATACAGTACTTCACACACTCACTATGTCCCAAGTGCTTTCTGGGGGAGGAGGGGTGAGTTCATTCCCTTCCTCCACGGGCAGTGCCTATTCCCGCTGCAGTTCTTGCAGTTGTGCAGCTCTGTCTTCCCCTCCTCCTCCTGCCCTCCTG